CCTGTAGTCCCAGCTACTTGGGAGGCTGAGGCAGGAGACTCGCTTGAGCCCAGGATTTGGAGGTTGCTGTGAGCTGTGATGCCATGGCACTCTGCCCAGGGGGATAGCTTGAGGCTCCGTCTCAAAAAGAAAGAAAAGAAAACAGCCCTATCCTGCATTGGGCCCACTTTCTATGGATGAAGACCCACTTCAAGGGCGAGAGCCAGAGTGAGTCCTCTGGACCACTCTGGATGTGGTTGGAACATAAAAGGCCTTGAATGAAAGTGGTACAGGGCAGGGGTGATGGCAGGAGCGTGAGCTTTCCAGGGCATTAGGAAGGGGAAAAGGATACAGTACATGTCCGCTACTATTTCAAGCCCCCTTGTCTTCTGAACAGCACCAAGGCGTCCACTGCAGGCTGAGCTGAAGGGCAGGCAGGGAGCCTCCCACATAGAGCTCTGTGCTGACTCAGTCACACACCCTGGGGCACACAAGGACCCTGGGCCTGGGCCCACCTCATATCTTATAGCACCAAGAGACAGAGCCAACAGCCCCCCTCCTTCCTCCAAGTCCCTGGAGCCCTCGGAGAACACCAGCTGTCAGGAGTAGCAGCTGACATCTACTGAGCACTGGCTGTGGGCGAGGTGCCCTTCTGAGCAGCCACACTAGCTATAGCTCCCACCTGCAACAGTCCTGCTGCTCAAAGAACACACCGATGTGCACATCCATGGACAGTTCACACCCATGGTTCTACAATAGATGATGAAACTCAGGCCCAGTGGTGGCTGAGCCCAGGCCCAAATGTGTGGTCTCTGCTGTGAGCTGGACAGCACAGTGAGGGAGGGCCTGGAGGGTGAGTTGTCTGATGGGCAGTTGTCCTGGGAATGTCCATGAGGGCCAGGGACTTTAATTCTCCTGCCCTTTGGTCATTGGTGCTGCTGGCTTTCACAGCTCAGCACCTGTCCACTCAATGAGTAGGGCACCAGCCACACACACTGAGGCTAGTGGGTTCAAGCCCTGCCCAGGCCTGCTAAATAACAATGACAATTATAACCAAAAATAGCCAGGTGTTGTGGTGGGCCCCTGTAGTTCCAGCTACTTGGGAGGCTGAGGCAAGAGAATTGCTTAAGCCCAAGAATTTGAGGTTGCTGTGAGCTATGATGCCACAGTACTCTACCGAGGGCAACATAGTGAGACTCTGTCTCAAAAAAAAAAAAAAAAAAAAAGGCTGGTTTCTACTGATGAGGCAGTTTCTCACCCCTGCTGGGCTGGGCTGTGGGCCTCCTGAGAGTAAGGCTGTGATATTCTCTTGCTCACCCATAGCTCTTGTCTGGCAGATTTCCTGGAATATAGAAATAAGAACAAACGGTTTGTGGGTTACCTGGGGGTTAGGAAGAGAACTGCTCTAGCAGAGGGGGGTTAATTCCTCAGCATTAGAAGGTCTGGAGAGGCACAAGCCACAGGTGAAGCCCTGGGAAGGTGGGTGGCTGCAGGAGCAGTGTCTTTGCAGCTGGAGGCAGGTGATCCTGGCCACAGGAGCTGCTGCTACCAAGCTCAGGAAACTGTACCCCCAGCTTTGCCCTTCCCCTCCCAGCTGGAAGCCAGGATGATACCCTAAGCAAGGACAGCGGGGTGCCAGCGATCAATGACTTTGTCCACCTTCCTTCTGCAAAGCCTTAGTGATTTTTTGTGGCCTCTAATTCATCCACAGAGCTGGTGGGCAATGCCTTGTGCAGGGCTTTGTGCTGAGCTCTTGGGAGCAGAAGAGACTCTGGCCTTTCCCTTAAGAAGTTTTTACTGCTTTGGCAGCCAGATTGGCATTAATAACGTAATAAAAGAAAAATGAAGTTGTGACGCTTTGGGCAACTTGTATGTTGGGGAGTGGAGAGATGGTTACTGTGTCTGGAAGTCCAGTTGAGGCCAGGGAGGGGACAGAGCAGTGGCCCAGAGGCGTCCAGGTACGAGCTTGAAAGAGGCTGCCTGCCTGCTTCCTTGGCACAGTTGGTCCCTCCAGTCTAACTGGTCTGGGGACAGCTTCCTGGCTGTGCTGTCCGGACCTTCCCAGCGCCTCCTGTGAGCTGTAATGTGCTCATCACCGCCTCTCTCCAGATTGTAAAGTCCCGGCGCTGGGTGCCCGATCTGTCAGGCGCACCTGACTTGTGCCCCTGGACAGGTTTGTGTGAGCCAAGGAGCCCGCTTGCTCCGTGCGCTCTGGGGCTCAAAGACACGCCGACCTCAAGTCCTTCGGGAGTTGGGGGTGGTGTCTGAGTGCGGGAATCTCCAGGGGCGCGAGTGTGTTAAGCGGCCGCGGAGCCAGGGACAGCGCCTGCGCAGTGGCCCGCCGCGCTCGCGCCCAACAGCCAAGGCCCGGGTAGACCAGGAGACGGAATCTGCGCACTCTTTACTTTCTCGGGACCCGGTCGTGGGCGGGAGGAACCAGCGAGAGGGAAACGCCTACGACAGACAACCGGAGAGACCACTTAGGGGCGTGACCGGAGTGTCGCGCGCAGGGCTGCAGTAGGCCTGCAGGAGGCGGGGGCGGGCTCGGCGCGCTCGGCGCGCTCGGCTCCGCCCACTCGGGGCCGCGCCAGGCGGGAGCGCTGCGCCGGATGGGCGTGGCTGCCCCTCCTCAGGTAAACGGCGGGCGTGGACGCGCCTTCGCGAGCGCGCTGCACTGAGGCCTGGGCGGGAGGACCCAGGGGCCGCCCCCTCGGCCGCGCTGCGCCGCAAGCGGAGTCAGGGGACGCCTCCCAAGGTCGGCGGGCGGGCGTCCGGGGAGTCGTGGGCGTCGCGGTGACCGAGGCCCGCCCCCGCCCCCGTCGAGGCGCCCTGCGGAGCCGGCTGCGCTGCGTCACCACCCGGAAGGGAGACCCTGGAGCTCCGCGGCTTGCGTCCCTCTTCGGCGCTTGTGCGCGGTTCCCAGAGCCTGGCCTGTCCTCCGCCCCGTGAGCGCCCTGGTCCCTGGG